TCAGGAAACATTGTTTGCGCTCGTGTTTCCAGCTAGTATTATTTGGATGTGCCGTAGTTATTGGCACGATTTATGCAGGTGAATTTGTTTGGTTTCCGGCGAGGGGACTGTTGAAAATTGATGGCCGCAGAGACAGAAAGTGCATAATAGCAACCCTTGTTTTTGATGTCGGGTATGAAGGGCGGAGGTGGGTAGAATCGAGGATGTGGACAAGGTGAAAGTAGTGAAACCGAACAGCAAACTAGCAACCGGTGCGGAACCGAATTTGTATTATATAAGCTAGCCTGAGCCAGTGATGGGGGTACAGAGACCAAGTCTTAGGAAACCCATTGATTGTGTTTATAAATGTTGGAAGACATGACATTATTGTTATAGTTTGTTAAATGTAGCGTGAAACGTCAGGGTTTTAACAATAATAAATATCCCTGTTCTGTTTAAGTGTCAATAAAGGTCGCAGTGTTCTTGGTAGCGTGGGTCGTAGAGATAGCCCGCAAGCCTCGGCAACGATAGTGTTAGACTGATGTATATATTGAAAGTAAAGGTAGTAGAATTATTCATCTTGACTTTCTTGTACCTTGATTTACATCCCCTACTTTAATTAATATAGTTTTTTGATTGCCTACATACATATATAATATAACCAGCATCAATAACGGGACTCCTGAAGCGTGCCAGGGTATGTTCAATGTCGAAAATCACTGGGCATGGACTAGAAACTGTCATGATAGAATAAGGAATAGGATGTCGTTTGAGTAGAGAATACCAGCGGCGCTCTCATGATTGTGGCTTGTATTTCTGGCTAATTGCCAGATTATTATGGCTCTTGAATTCGTGCTGGTGCGATAAAGGTTCGAAAGAACCGGATACCCCGATCGAGTGCATAATGAACGGATTTGATGCTAGATTTAAAATTATATGATTTATCCTGTCCATTCCTCAGCCTTGTATCAATGTGTTGGTTGCAAGATAGGATGGAGGGAACAACTTATAATGAACAGGATTGGGGATGTAGTGGTTGATGGATACTTTCAGATGGATACATGGGATGTGATCATAGAAGATGGAAGCTAAATGGACCATGTTACACGATATGGAATAAATGGAGGCAGAACCCGATGGAGGATGGGCAATAGGAATTGGATGGTTGGTGGCTTGATGAGACTCAACATTAGAGTTAATAGGAATGGAGGAGCACTTAGACGTGGCGGAGGGGACGATAGCTCGATGGATGTGTGTGCGATTGGGTGAATGATGAATTGCGTGAGCTGATGTTGCGATGCGATGTTGTTTGTGGATGATATATGTGGTGGGATGTGTGAATGGTGTGATAGGAAGGAGTATGAAAGGATAAGATTCGGATATGATTAGATTGGTAGTGATTGATTTAGACGCATGCTTGCTGTAGAGTTGATTGGTTTGGGGGCTGTCGAAGTTGCGAATTGAGGATGGAGCAAGAGAAATGCTTGTGAGTCGGATAGCCATGTGTTAGATATCACCAGGATGTGAACTAACGATAAGATAAGGTAGGGAATGAGTGAGCAGTGGTATTGGATTTTCCTAAGCGTGGTCGGGGGTGATAGGTTGCTTGCCTCGATGACTGTTCTAGATGTGATCCAGCAAATCAAGTGTATAACATGGCTGGATGACTTAAAATGGAACTGGACTGTAACGTGGTACTTCTTCATTTTGTTCTCATATTAGCTCTCACTTGGTAACTGTGACTGCATTCTTTAGTATATTACCATTCGCAATTAGTCATGATATGAGACCAATGCGTGTGTAAGGAATACTCGTATAATACTCCTAGCGATCCTCTCGTACGACTAGTTAAGGAGACGTGTATTCAGGACGTGAGTTACAAGTAAAGAGCTTAGGGGAAGTGGAAGAGATGACTTTAATATCCTTATTAAAGGGAGTCAAAGCGAATGTGAGAGTTTTGTAAATGGATCTATAACTGATTTTGAGTCTGCAGCCAATTTTACTAACGTTTAAAGTGTAGCTCTCTGTTAAGGCTGTGATGTGGCTGTGGTTGTTATATTTATAGCACACCGTGTTATGTAAATTGTGTGACACGGCTGCATCAATCCCGTCTGCATATATTTGTAGATTGATTTGGCAGTATTATATCTGTTAATTCTGTAGCATATAAAGCCTTGGGATTACGTATCCCTACAATGACGAATGAGCTGGTGTAACTTATTCTGAATAGTGGTCTGTCTGGCAACTGGCAGTGATCTCTTCTCAGGGATCTGGTTATCTATCGTTCTGTTAGTATAATTATATTCGAGTGGGGAGGACGGGATATTACAGAAATGAACTTCAAGTGAATAGCATATACAAGTTCTCAGAATAGAGTGCTAGCGTATATGCGTCGTGTAATCAGTATAGGTGTGTTCCATGATTTATAGAAACCAGTTTAG